CTTGATCCATAGCTATTTTTCTTTTTTTTCAATTACTTTAACTTAGTTGGTATTGAACACCAAGTGATAAGATCATGTGAATTTTTAATACCCAAAGTCTAAAATCATAAAAAAAAGCCCATGAGAAAGTTCCAATTATCCATTATTCATATAAAGTCATATTATTCAGGCCTCCTGTGAAGGTTCATAAAGCAGAAGTATATTGAAGAAGTTACTCCAAAAACTCAGAGTCTAATGCTCAGGCAGTGGCATTTTCCCAGGAGGAGAAACCTGCTAGAAACACTTAAGAAAGAGCGAGATATTCAGTGCAGATCACAGACATTCTCTCAGGAAGCTGCTCCATCTGGGCAGCTCCCCAAGGAGGTAATTCTTCGTGTTGATCTTGTGATTACAGGGCTATTAATTTTCTAATTATGCTGATAGAGATTCAGTGAGAGCTACACTTGTGGAGTGCTGGCAAGCAGGGAGGACTTCTCCCCCAGTGTGCTCAGCCAGGATGTCCCAGGGAGCTGCCCTGGGCTCGGCCTCCCTCTCTTCTCCAAAACAAATGACCTCGCTCAGATCCTGTTTGTGCCGTCCTTACTTCCTGGGCCGGAGCACACTGCCTGCGAGCGCCCGCCGCAGCTGATCCCGTCAGAGTGGCATTTCCTCCTTCTTGTGCTTCTCTCTTGTGCATTTGTTTTCTCAGAGTGAGCACTTGCCAGAGCCGGGGCTCCACTGGCTGAATTGCAGGAAGCACGCCAAGGCATTCTCTTCCCTCCCCATTCCTAGAGAGTCAGAGAGCCTGGGAATGAGTTTGGCCAGAGATCTTTCCTACCCGCAATCACCACTGCTCTCAGTGTGACTTCCTCTGAGACTTCCTCCTAGATACAACTGCAAATCTACCATCTTTGTTACCTGGGAGGCTCAGATTCTCCCATGCTTGCCATGGACAGAAGTATCCTCTCCAGCCTTGTTGCAGAAAGAGGGGCCCAAAGTTTGGTAGGGAAGAGAACCAGGGATGCCCAGGCCCAGGGATCTCTCTCCCGACTGCCCCTGCCTCGGTTGTGGCCTGCCAGCTCTCTCCACTCATTCCCAGTATTCCTTCCTTCCAAGGCAGGCGCATTGCTTATCCCAGGAGCCCACTGCGAAATCTGAGTCACCAGTGGTTTTGCCTTTTTTTTCTCCAAGTGTCATCTTCTCCCCTCTCAGAGGCAATGGATGTTGTTACTGATTTTCTTGGGATGAGGTCCTGAAGGAGGATCTACTGGGCCTCAGAGACGCGTTTAGAAGGGCAGCAGGACAAAAGGAACTGGCATCTCTCCGGTCTTGGCTAGACCCGATAATGCCAATACCATTTCCTCCTAGGTTTTTTGCAGCTACGCAGCCCATCTCAAATCTTAACCATTTGGGGCCAGCACCGTGGTGCACTAGGTTAATCCTCCGCCTGTGGCACCGGCATCCCATATGAGCGCCGGTTCGAGTCCCATTGCTCCTCTTCCAATCCAGCTCTCTGCTGTGGCCTGAGAAAGCAGTAGAAGATGGCCCAAATCCTTGGGCCCCTGCACCCACATGGGAGACCAGGAGGAAGCACCTGGCTCCTGGCTTCCAATCAGTGCAGCTCCGGCCATTGCAGCCAACTGGGGAGTGAACCAACAGACGGAAGACCTTTCTCTCTGTCTCTCCCTCTCACTGTCTGTAACTCTACCTCTCAAATCAATCAATAAATTTAAAAAAAATCTTAGGGGCTGGCACCGTGACTCACTACTCACTTGGTTAATCCTCTGCCTGAGGTGCCGACATCCCATATGGGCACTGGGTTCTAGTCCCGGTTGTTCCTCTTCCAGTCCAGCTCTCTGCTGTGGCCAGGGAAGGCAGTGGAGGTTGGCCCAAGTGCTTGGGCCCCTGCACCTGCATGGGAGACCAGGAGGCTCCTGGCTTCGGATAGGTGCAGCGCCAGCAATAAAGGCCATTTAGGGAGTGAACCAACAGAAGGAAGATCTTTCTCTCTCTCTCACTGTCTAACTCTATCTGTCAAATAAAAAAAAAAAATCTTAACCATTCAATGAGCTTTCAAGCTTCAAAGGTTGATCTGGAGGAGAGAATAAGGCACTGCACACTCACCCTGAGACAGGAGTGAAGAGGCAGAGCTGAGGCGCTTATCTGAAGAGCTCCCCTGCCCTGGCTATGTACCCCTCATCCCCACGCACCCTAATTCTTAACCCAGCCTTTCACTTCATCTGCAAAGGTTCATTAGGGATACAAACAGCTGGCCTTCCAATGCCCCAACCAACTCCTGCTGCCTGCTGGAAATCATCTTGAGAAAATCTAAGCATCTCTCCAGAGCCTATAGACCAGGAACTCCCTGCCCTCACCCCCATATCAGATCCGAATGATGACAAAGATTGTGTGGCATTAAATATGCAGTACCCCTGACCTGCTCCCTTGTTCTTTTACATTCTGAGGGTACAGCCACGCCCACGTCTCAGCTCATCTACAGGCTGTCCAGACTGGCCACACCCAGAGCTTCTGCCTGTCTCCTGGCCCTTTCCTCCCGTGGTCTTACCATTCACACTGCCTTCAATTCTCACTTTCCCACTCACATACATTTCAGCCCTCTTTGGGCCTGTGATTCACAGAAGGCCACAGAAAAAGTGGGTGATGCTCCTGCCCAGTAGGGGCAATGATAGAAGGGTCCTCTTGATTCTTGCCACTGAGAGCTAGGGCAGTAATACAGATAAAGAAACCAAAAGACAAAGCAACTCCCAAGAGGGAACAAAAGCAAATGTCTCCAATTTGCTTCAATACAGGAGGAATGGGTTGAAGAAGGACTGGCTCCGCGGGGATCCTGACTCTGAGTAGAGTGGGTGGGTATGGGGGAGGAGGGGAATAGCCTCGCCCTAGCCCAACAGGGCACCAGGAGCTGGGAGCCTCCATCTGGCTACTTCCTAGGAATTACAACAACTTTCTCCCCATAGTAGGGACTTCTAAAATTGGAAGCAGAGCAAGCATGTGGCACAAGGGTTGAGAGGCTGCTGAGGGAGCCTGTGTTGTGATGCTGTGGGTTAATTACCACTTGTGATGCTGGCATGCCATCTTGGAGTGCCGGTTCGAGTCCTGGCTGCTCCATTTCTGATCCAGTGCCTGCAAATGTGCTAGGGAAGGCAACAGAAGATGGCCCTGCCATCCTTGTGGGAGACCAGGATGGAGTTTCTGGCTCTTGGCCTCAGCCTGGCCCAACCCTGGCTGTTCTGGCCGGTTGGAAAGTGAATCAGTAGATAGAAGACCAAACTCTCTCTCCCTTGCTCTCTCTGACACTCTGCCCTTCAAATAAACAATAAATAAATAACTCTTCAAAAAGACAGAAGACCCACTTCACTTAGAAAATTCACATCCCGTATCAGAGTGCTGGGACTTGAATTCCTGACTTCTGAGTTCCTGACTTCAGCCTTGTCAGGACCACCTGGTTCAGGCAGGCATTTGAGGACTTGAACCAATAGATCAAAGATCTCTCTCTCTCTCTTTCTCTCTCTCTCTTCCCCTGCATTTCAAATAAAGACAATTTTTAAAAGCTAACATTGAACCGCCTGCAGCAGTGGCATCCCACATGGGAGCCGATTTGAGTCCCAGCTCCTCTTCCAATTCAACTCTCTGCTATGGCCTGGAAAAGCAGTAGAAGATGGCCCAAGTCCTTGGGCCCCTGCACCTACATGGGAGACCTGGAAGAACTCCAGGCTCCTGGCTTCAGATCTGCCCAGCTCCGGACATTGCAGCCATTTGGGGAGTAAACCAGCAGATGGAAGACCTCTCTCTCTCTCTTCCTCTGTCTCTCTAGAACTCTACGCTTCCCAAATAAATAAATAAATAAATATTTTAAAAAGAACTTTATCACCAACAACAAAAAGAAAGCTAATATTGAAAGGGAGACGAAAAGGCATGAAGTCTAAATCGTAAATCTTGGCAAGAGTTTCCTGCTCTGGAAACTGTGACTCAGATGTGGCAGAGGTGAGGTGGAGCCATGGCAGGAGGCACAGCAGCAGGGCCGGGGGAGCAGCTCGTGCGCGGTGGGCCTTGGCAGGTGTGCCAAGGGGAGCACGTGGGTAATGGTGGCTGCATCGTGACGAGTCTGTTTTGTTAGAAACAAAAAGACAAAAGGATAGAGGCAGGCAAACCATGCAGTCAGTAAACACTAAGTTGCTCTTCGCCGTCCTCACCTGTTCCAGCGATCTATCACCGCATGAAAAGTCACCCCAAAACAGTGTCCCGGGGGGTCAGGGTGTGGAGAAGGGCTCGGCTGGGTGTGACCTGTCTCTCCTGTGAGCTCAGGACCTCCCTATGTGTCTCCTAGTTTGGTTTCCTCACAGCATGGCAGCCTCCAGGGAATCAGACTGCAAAGAAAGCAAAGCTTTCAAGAAGGAAGATTCCAAAGAGCAAGACAGGAAATGCACCACGGGGGCGGGGCTTGCGCCTTGCAGTTAAGATGCCAGTGAGAACACCTGGGTTCGAGGCTTGGCCCAAGTTCCTGACTCCAGCTTCCTGCTAATGCACACCCTGGGGGGGTGGGGGGGAGGGCAGCAGAAATAGCTCAAGCAGTTGGGTTCCTGCCACCCAAGTGGGAGACCTGGACTGCGTTCCCAGCCGTCAGTATCAGCTATCCCACCCATTGCAGGCATTTGAGGAGTGAACCAGCAAATGCACGTGTTCTCTCTGTCTCTCAAATTAATTAATATTAAATTTTGTTTAAAAAACCTGACTCATCTGTTTTGATGGTGTGTTGGCAGTCACATAGCATTATTATTATTATTATTATTTGCTATACTCTATCAGACAAAAAAGTCAGAAAATCGGTACACTTTCAGGGTCAAGAAGATGGACCCTCCTCCCCAAGAGAAGAGAGTAAAAGGATTTGAGGACATATGAGTACTAACCAATAGCAATTCGCCATTGCTTTTGTCTTGAAATGAAGCTTCCGTTACCCTGGCCACTACCAATTCTAACTGGTCTATGTTTCTGCCTTCCAGACCTCAGATTGGAGTGTTTCCTCTGCTGAAAATGCTACCAGGTAAGGAAGCTGAGCTGCAGAGAGGGCCTCGGGAGGAACCTCAGCCCCCAGGATTCAGGCTCTTGTGCGATCCTCTCCCTCTCCGGTCCTGGGCACCACCTGAAAGAAGCAATCCGTGGGATTTCCAAGGTTAGCACATGAAAAAGCCTCGACCCTTCCACCTGTTTCTTCTGAAATGCTCATTCTGTGGAAAGCCAGCCGCATGCTAGAAGTCTAAGCCCAGCACGCACTGAGGAGGCCCAAGTTAGCCAAATGGAGGAAGAGAGAAACGTGCTAAGCAAACCACCAGAGATTTCAGCCACTTCAGCCCAGGGAACCAGACAGAGAAATGAAGACTACGATGGGGGAGGGGCGGGGGGGGTAGGAGGGAGTGTTGTGGAGCAGCAGGTTAAGCCTCTGCCTGCACAGCCAGCATCTCATATGAGTGATGGTTCGAATCAGTTGCTCCACTTCCAATCCAGTTTCCTGCTAATGTGCCTGGGAAAGCAACAGAAGATGGTCCAAGTCCTTGGGCCCTTGTCACCCAAGTGGGAGACCCGGATGGAGTTATGGCGCCTAGCTTCAGCCTGGCCCAGCCCTGGCTCTTGGGGAGTGAACCAGCAAATTGAAATTCATTCTCTCTCTCTCTCTCTTTCTCTCTGTAACTCTGCCTTCCAAATAAATAAAATAAAGGTTCCCATTTTTTTATATATAAAGGAAGCCACCGTGGACACTCAGCCTGGTGGAGCATCCAGATTGCTTCTGCCCAGGCCTCACCAGGCTGTGATCACTGTTGGTAAGAGGCAGCCACTCACCTAAGTGTACTCAACTCCCAGAATCTTGATAAATACTAATAAGTTCATAGTTAATAACGTAATATTTAATACATAATATAATATTATATGAATATATTATATATTAGAGATAATAAAGTTTTTTAAGGATTTATTTATTTATCTTAAAGTCAGAGTTATAGAGAGAGAGGGAGAGACAGAGAGATCTTCCATCTGCTGGTTCACTCCCCAAGTGGGTACAATGGCCAGGGCTGAATCAGGCTGAAGCCAGGAGCCAGGAGTTTCTTCCAGGTCTCCCACATGGGTAGCAGGGGCTCAAGCACGTAGGCCATCTTCTGCTGCTTTCCCAGGCTGTTAATAAGCTGAGTTTTGAGGCAGCCTGTGATGCAGCCAGAACACCCAGTTCTTTCAATTCTGCCCCCAGAAAGTCTGGCTTTCTTAAGCAGGCCTTCATTCCCATGGACCTGCTGAGGCCAAGCTTTCTGTCTGGCTTCTGAGCCAGGATTCACGCCTTTGAGGAAGTTGGTCTTGGAGGTAATATGAGATGTGCTCACAAACAACTAGAAAATAACACAGACAGGAAACATGCCACAGGTCAGAGAGGGAGAGGGAGAAGGAGAGGGAGAGGGAGAGAGATGCGAATTATTCCAGCCCAGCCCAGAGTCAGGGGCTTCAGCAGGAGGTGGTGTTGACCTGGGTCTGCAATGCTGAGTTGCAGCCCGCAGATTTGTTTTGCAGAAACAGCCAGCTACTGAAAAAGTGAAAGGTGATGTGGTGAACAAATATATTCCATGGAAATTATCCCGGAAGTGATGTATAAAGTACATTACATCTCAGACACACTAGATGGGGTGTGCGGTCACTGGGGAGACTGTAAAGAAGCTGTCGGACAATCCAGGGGAGAAGCAGCAAACCCCAGATCCAGACGTGGCAGTGAGGCTGGGGTTAAGGGGAAGTTGACCAAAGTGACACTGCGGGGGCCGACGGGACTCTTCCTGTCCACACAATGATAAAATTATGGCACCAACTCCCCTTTTCCTTGAATAAGTGAAACCAAAATAAATAATTTCTCAGTTTTCGTTTCTGGAAGACAACACGGCTTTTCAAAGAAAGGAGGTTAAAAAAATACTTCATGATCTCGGAGAAAACCGAAAATTAAATCCGTAACTTTAAATAAGTATAATCAGAGGTCACCCTTTCGAGCATTCGTGGCCAGTTCTAATATATTCCGGTTGATTTACAACTTCTGTCGCTTACCCACCCCTCTGGCATTGTTAGTAGTGGAAGAAGCCTCCAAAAACAACGCCACGCCAGAATTAAAAATCCACAGTGCCGCTTGCTGAAACCAGGGCTGCGCCAACTATTTTTTAAGGGAAGAGCTCCCTCTTGTGGTCAAAGTGTTCTTTACCACTTGATCATTCTGCCGTATGTCTATTTAAGAAACTAACGAGTCATGTTCCACTTCCCTTAGAACTGAATTTGCACTTTAAAATTTTTCTTGATTATTACTGAATAGGTTCTTTATCATTAACTATTTTTTTTGACAGGCAGAGTGGACAGTGAGAGAGAGACAGATAGAAAGGTCTTCCTTTGCGTTGGTTCACCCTCCAATG